ATGATAAATTACATATAATGAGTGCAAAACTAATATTTTCTTTTTTTACGTCAAGATTCATATGAATATGAATGAAACGATGAATTGCACATGATAAGCAGAAAATGACTATTTTATTTATTTTTTATTTTTAGATTCCAATCGATTATGGTAGAAATAGTTAGTTATATATAATGAATAGATAAGTAATCTTTTCTTTTTTTTATGTTAAGATGCATATCGATAAGATACAACTGGTGAGTTGTACATTATGAGTGCAAAATTAACATTTTGTTTTTATATTTAGGTTCATATCGATAGCAGATAGATGGTCAATTATGTATTACAATCAGAAAATTAATATTTCCTTTTTGAGTTTTAGGTTCAGATCAGGGTTGCCAGATCGAAAACTCAAAAATCAGAATTTTTTTTTCAAAATCAGAAAACCATCAGAATTTTTTTTTGCAAAATCAGAAATTAATCAGAAAAGTCAGTTTTTGAAAAACCTCGTGGTTGTTATGGTATCATGTTGGTACAAGATGCTCTATTGAATCGCTGTTCATTAATTCATACTTTATTTTCAAAGATATTTCGCTATACAAAAGCATAATACAATGAATATACTGTTTAGCTAACAAGGAAAAACTAATGAAGACACGTAGTGTCGAACTCTTTCGCTAAACTCAAAATTCGTTCACAAAACAAGTACAAAAACAAATCACACATATACGATATAAGTTATAAGATCCTATGAAAGAAAAAACTGATGATTATGTAACATAGATTCGATATTATTGTTCATATTTTCCATTTTTTCGAATTTGCTTTAACAAATGTGTTTGAGTTAAAAGATATTTATAATATTGTTCACACGAATAATTATGATAAGATTTAATTTCGCTAAAAAAGCTGTGATATGATTTAGAAAAGTTCAAAATTCAGGAGAAAAGCAGGGAAAATTATTAAAAACAGGAAAAATCAGACGAGAGTGCTAAAATCAGAAAAAATCAGACTGTCAGAAGGAAATCAGAAAGACAACCAAATTTCAGACACTGTCCTGACTTTTCAGACAATCTGGCAACCCTGGTTCAGATCGATAAAGCACAAATGTTAAGCGGTATGAGAAAACATTGGTTCCTTCCATCTTCATTTTAGTTGTTCTCTTCCAGGCATTCTAAACAGATCGTTTTTCTATACGTTCGATAAAGTTTCTATGACGTCTTTCAAGGTGTCGAGATCTGTGTAGTCGGCTCCAGAAGTTTCAGTTGGCATATGGCGTTAAAGGTTTTCGGGAGCTCGGAAATCTTTTATTCCTTTCCGATATCAGGATCTCAAATATTACCAACACTGACTTTTTTGGGGTTTGTGAGACTTCGAAAACCCTTGCCAGAAACTCTTAAAGGGTTTAATATAGTAAGAAAATCGGAAACTCTTTAAGGGTTTCCAAGGGTACATATTTTTTTAGACAGCAGGGCCGTTTGGTTTAAAGAAAATACAAAATGAAGGTTGCTGTTCAAATCTACTTCGGCGAGCAATAGTCGTTGGCGCTTCGTATTCGTCAGTTCAACTTGCGTTTGTTTGACTTGTCCGCAACCTCTCTATGGTAAATCCATGCCTCATCATGCATAACAATATTACATAATCGGCAGGTGCATAACGAAATTTCGTCAAAGGACTGGGATGCATAAGCAATGGAGTTTGGGACACTAATTGTCCATAGACAGTTCATTAGTAAGTCCATGCAGAAAAGTGAGATGAGTCTTTTAGTATGGAATTGAAGCAAAATATTGGCTATTGAAAGTCATTTTGAAGGAAAAACATTACACAAAAACATTAAAGTCTTACAAGGTCTTTGATGTTTTCTCAGTACTTTTCTATTTGTCGAGTATTTGACTAGAAAGTACAAATTTTTGAAAATCGTGTAAGTCCAGTTTGTTTTGAATAGAAAGGCATTCCATGCTGTATCAGTTCATATAATAACCAGTATTTCTTTTTCGAGCTATTGAGAATAGTAGTGTCACTACTTTTATCTACTCTTCGATTGGACATGATTTTATTGCATACAATGTAACAGCACTTTTACTCGTTTGAATTCTTTTTTCATGTAAGCTGGTCCCTGTTATCTAGTATTCGACAGAGAAAAGAGAGGGCTACAAAATGATATATAGATGTTTGCAAAAAACTTGGAAACCTTCTTTCACAGATATCTTCTTCTATACAAGTGCCATTCGAATTGTTTTATAGTGTGGTAGATAGCCCACGAAGAGTACTATACAACAGTATAATTTCATATTGTTTTGATTGACTTCTAAAAAAGATATTATGCAAATATCTCGTTTCCTTGGCCACACCAGAATTATTTGTTATGGATATTTCAACTTTTTTTTACTTTTTCACCTGAAAAATGTTGGAGTTCATCAGTCTTTTTTTTGAATTTCTTCTCTAAATATTATATTGAAGTATTTGCAATAGAACTCGCCCATTTTGTTATGCAATATTTCCTCAAACAAGAGCCCTCTCAAAGTTTTGCGTAGGAATTGACAGCCTACACCTAGTAATATCGAATAGCATAGTTCAAGATTTTATTCGTTCACCTTTACCATCGATAAGAGACAAACTTCGTTTTTTCATCGACATCACACAATTTTTCATAACATTAATAAGGATATTTTCGAATTCTTCAGCAAAAATAGTTCGAGCTCATCAGTATTTGTTGGTTTTCTTTTTTATACGTTGTGTTTCACGATCGACCAGATATTTTTGATGGGATTTGCATCAAGACTATTTGATGATCAATCTAATAACTGTGGTACATTCTTGTCGATAAGTTTTTGACAAATATTACTGGTGTGTTTGGGGTCATTGTTCTGCTGCAACCGCCAATTTGAACCAAATTGATCTAAAAACGAAAGAATACACAAGTAACGTTACATTATTTTCTTTCCTTACTCACGTGTGGCAGCTGGAAGAAGATAATCTTCAAGGATAGAAACATAATATGGACCATCGAGATTGCATCGGAATGTGTGACATGTCAATAACACTTTTCACACTTATTGCACCCCGAACATGAACCTTCTGACGATTTTTAGGTGAGCATTTAAATTCTTGATTGGGATTTTTCGTCCATCAGCGAACTGTATTACGAAAAGGCTGGTATGAGGATTCATCTGTAAATATTGTATTATTGAAATCATCATTTATATGCTTCTTGGCCCCTTGTACATGCCGTTGTTTTTCATTCAATATTAACATGTGAGTAGATTGAGGGAAAACATTTTTATAACCATATTTGTGAAGGTGACGACTAATTGTTGATGTAGACACTGATTTGTGGTGCATTTTTGATAAATT